GTCCCTTGTAATTCCATGTAAATTTTAGAATCAGCCCGCCAGTTTTACAAAGAAGTAGCTGGGATTCTGACAGGGATTGCATTGAATCTGTATTCAAGTCTCACATCTCTTTGCGAAGTGAGCGTATCTCCAATCAGCTGGTCCACGAGAGTAAGGCCAAAGGACGTTCCTGACCAAGCTGGTCTGGTGTGCCCCCATGTACGTGTCCTCAAGAAGCTACGTTCAGTGTGGGTACCCCTGGGACTGAATGTGTGCAGTAAGAGTGTAAATGACTGAAATAGGAACCCAACTCTTCAAGACCTTTCCAAGGTTTCCTCATGACTGTAGTAATGGATGATCTTAGGTTGGGTCCCCCAAGAAGCAGACGTTGAGGCGAGGATTCGCGTGAAAGTAGTTTTGTGGGAGGTGGTCTCAGGAAGTTCTGGAAGGGGAGTGAGGAAGGTGTCCAAGGAGGGGAGAGAAGTCAGGAGTGTGTGCCTAAATGAGCAGGTCGTTGCTATGGGCATCTGGGGCTCAATCCCATTGAGGACCTCTGTGAGAGGGTAGAGAACAGGGTTTCTCAACCTCAGCACTATTGACATTTTGGACTGAATAATTATTGGTTGTGGGGTGCTGTCCTGGGTGTTGTTGGATGTTTAGCAGCATCCTGGCCTCTACCAGATGCCAGTAGCAACCATCCAACCAAAATGTCTCCAGATATTGCTCCATGTCCCCTGGGGGTGCAAAATTGTACCTGGTTGAGAATCACTGGTATAGATTTGTCTCAGAATTGTCCCATCCAAGAGGGGAGAAGGTGAGGGGGATATATATACACCAACTCCCAATCATCGTTAAGGCTGCTTCTGAAGGTGTCAAATCCCTGCACTTCTGGCCTGTCCTGAGGGTCTCCCGAATCCTAGGCCAGAGAAAGCTCTCAGGCAGCAGAGAAACTGCCCATAGTAAGAAGCCACCAGCATGCATGGAAATAATGAGGGCTGCAGGGATGTGGGCCCCCATAGTGGAGCTACCTGGATTATGCTGTGTGAGGCTTTGGAGACCCCAGCTCCTTCCCAGATCTGCAGCTTGGCCTGGACTTCCATGTTCCTGGGGCTTTGCAGGTTCCACTGCATCACCGTGTTGAAACCAACTCACCCCCCGAGCAAGGCTTTAGCCCATCAGCTCACTTCCTAGTCTCTGCATCTGTCACTGCTCCTGCAGGATGAGGAAAGATGACTTGTAAAGACTGGTAGACAGAAAAGACCTAAGTGATGTTGTTTCCCCAGGTGGAAGGCACTGGTGGGAAAGTTGCTCACAGAATTCCCCTCCTCTTCCCGTTTCAGCCCCTTGCGCCCACCAGAGATGCTAAGGATGTTCTCCTTTTTCAGTATGCTGTGTGACTTTGGGAAATCACACCTCCTCTCTGGGCCTCAGTCTTCCTTCTATAAAAAACACGGGGCTGCTGGGGGTGGACCAGATGACCTTGAAATGTCCTTCCATCTCGAGCGGCTGCTGAGAGCCCTGGGAGGCGGTGAGGAGTCACCAGGCAGCCAGAGTCTGGGGGCCGGCCGGAAAATGTGACAGCTCGGCCCCCAGTGGTGTTGCTGGCCTCTGATCTCCACTCTGTGCCCGATACTCTGGGTCTGGTCACAGCCCATTGCGGCCCCTTGCTCACTCAGGAACATCTGCTACAGCATTTACCACGTTAATAGATTAGCTTTGAGAATCGGGCAGGTGTTTTCCACCCAAGCCAGAAAACATCAAAATCAGATTGCTCTCCAAGACTTTCCGCACAGGCAATCGAGTTAGAATGACTCGTACCGTCTAACAGATAATAAAACACACATAACATTTGCTTTAAGGTACAGGCAGGGGTATTTTGTCCCGTGCTTAGGAGAAACAAAAACTCACTCTATTTGGGAATAGGGTAATTGAATACAGATGGGAGGAGGTAAATGAAAGAATTTAGCAAATATCTCAGTGGAATAGCTAATGGGAATGAGACAGAATAGGAAATTAAAAATTATTCGAAGCAGATGGACCATTCTTTGAGTTTTTAAAAATTTATTAGGGCCGCGAAAAAATGTGTCTGTTTATTTTCTACGGCCATGAAATTAATGACTTGGTGAGTTTTGCTTGTGCAATTTTATGACTGCCATGTCATCTGTCATAATTTGGGGGCTGTTTGATATAGATTTATGAATGTCCCCACCCCCGCACCCCTCCCTGATTTATTGGCGTAGGTCAGACATGCATTAGGCTGTCCCCTATCAAGGGAGCAACGCCAATGGCAGCGTAACCCCTCAGGCCCTGGGTGGGGGGCCTTGGGGGATTCTCAGCCCAGAGGTGAGTGGAAAAGCCATGGAGGGGCTGTGGGAAAGGGGTAGGCCTGACCTGGCTGAACTTCCTCTGCAGGGATGACCCCAGCCTGCCTGGGCTGGGGAGGAGGTGTTCGGAAGGGGTTTCTTGCAAACTGTGGGGAGCAGGAAGCCAGCCCGGGGCTGCTTGTGCTTGGCCGGGAGTGAGGTGAGGGCTGTTGCTGCTGCTTCAGCCCAACCCAAGGGCCACCTGGCTTCCTGTCCCTTCAGCCCCCATAGCTGGGCTCATCTGTCTCCAGACCTGAAGCTCAAGGAAGGAGAAGAAAACTCACAAATTGGGAATCTGTGTGCCTGACTGCATGCTGGAGGCTTACGTGCATCCTCTAGATGGTGTTTAAAATAGGGCTTTACAACCAGCAGATTTGGGTCCAGTTTCGATCTGATTCTTCCCAGCTGGGTGGCTTTGGGCTGGTTACTACCCTCTCTGAACTTCTTTCCTCCTCTGTAAAGTGAGAATAGAAATGCCTAATGGAGGCTTCCCTGGTGGCTCAGTGCTTGAGAGTCCGCTTGCCGATGCAGGGGACACGGGGTTCGTGCCCGGGTCCGGGAAGATCCCACATGCCACGGAGCGGCTGGGCCCGTGAGCCATGGCCACTGAGCCTGCGCGTCCGGAGCCTGTGCTCCGCAACGGGAGAGGCCACAACAGTGAGAGGCCCGCGTACTGCAAAGCAAAAAAAAAAAAAAAGAAAAAGAAATGCCTAATGGAAGGGATGTTTTGAGGCTCAAAGGAGATAATGTAACATCCCAGCACATAGCAAAGTGCTGGTAAATGGTAACTCTTATTATTATCAATAAGCATCTTGAGGTGGATATTATTATTTCCACCTGACAGATGGAGACACTGAAGCTCAGAGAGGTTAAGTGATTTGTCTGAGGTCACATGGTTAAAGGGACGGAGCTGGGCTTTCCGCATTGATTTGCTCTTTCTTCCATAACTCTGACACCCAGCCTATTCTGAACTGAGAAACTCCAGACCCCTGGGGGCACAGTTCAGGGCTACGGACTCATGACTCTGTTCTCTGCCTCCTCTGCCTGGGCCCGGCCTACTCCCTGCCTGGCGTAGGTGTCCACTACAAACTTAGTCCTGGTGATCAGTCCCTTCTGCTCCTCGGGCTCCCTTTGGGAACAGAGAGCCTCTTCTACACCCCATTGCTGGGCTAGCTGGGCACCTTTTCTAGGTGTGGGTGGGCGAGTCTGTCCATCCTGAGGGCCAGGTGCATCCCAATCCCTTACCTCCCTCCCCCGACCCAGCTCCCGGAGGATGCTGCAGTGGGTGGGGCTCGAGGGCCCCTCAGGCTAGGGAGTTCTCTAAAGGCAAATCCCTGCCTTGGCCTGATGTCACGGTATGTGGTGTGTGGCCTCTGGACAGGCTGCGGGTAGCTTTGAGTCCCACCTGAGCTCTCTTCTCTTTAGCCCCACCTGTTCCCAAAGTCCAGGCCCTTTCATGCCTCTCTCAGCACCTCCAAATTACTAACAGGAATAACTCCTATTTCCCGAGCACCTGTGAAGGGCCGGGCACTGTGCAAAGTGACTTGTTCATGCAGTTCATGCAGTCAGCCATTTATTCCTCCATTGTTTCAATATTTATGGAGTGATTTCTGTGTGCCTGGCACTGTCCCAGCACTGGGGATACAGCAAAGAATAAAACAGATATGGTCCCTGCCCTCACTGAACTTAACATTCCTGTAGGGAAGATAGGCATTCGGTAAACACATTACTCTCTAATGTGTTAGGTAGACGTAAGGGCTTTGAAGAAAATTAAAGCAGGGTAAAAGATAGGAAAGGAGGTGGTGGGCGATGAGTGGTGGTAGGTGGTGGTGTCTGTTTTGTTTTGTTTTTTCTTTAATGTGTACACTTTATTGAAGTGGTCTCAAGTCAGTGTACAGGTAAGCCCTGGCTACCTCTGCACCCCAACCCGCTCCCAGGGGGACCAAGAGCCTTCATACATCTCAAGTTGGGGGACAAAAAGGGGGCCACGATGGCTGACCATTCAAAATAAAACAAACGAAAAGAACAAGTACTAAAGCGAAGATTAAAAAAAAATTTTAGAGTACATAATTTACGCAAAAGCAGTGCTATCACCCTCCCCTGTGTGGACTCGGGCGAGGACTGGCCCTTCTCCTCAGGGAGAAGCAGGGCAGCTCTTTGGAAGGCAAGGGACTTCCTGTAACAATGCATCTCATGATATTTGGAATGACTATTAAAAATAAAGAACAATGTACAATCAAAGTTCTAGGCTAGGGGCTTCCCTGGTGGCACAGTGGTTGAGAGTCCGCCTGCCGATGCAGGGGACACAGGTTCATGCCCCGGTCCGGGAAGATCCCACATGCCGCAGAACGGCTGGGCCCGTGAGCCATGGCCGTTGAGCCTGCGCGTCCAGAGCCTGTGCTCCGCAGCGGGAGAGGCCGCAACAGTAAGAGGCCCGCGTTCCGCAAAAAGCCCTCGGCTACCTTGTAGAACTTTGGGGATGCTCCATCCAACCAACTGCTGTCACCTTCACCGGTCCAGTTTTTAAATCCTGAGTCAAGCACACACACACACACACACACACACATCAAAAAAGACAAAAAAACACACCAGATAAAGCCATGCCAGTCTCCATTTTCTGCACGAGTTAGGTTTTGTCAAGAAAAGGGTGTAACGCAACTAACAGTCCACCTGGAAGCATTTGCGGTGGACGATGGAGGGGCCAGACTCAGTGTACTCCTGCTTGCTGATCTACATCTGCTGGAAGGTGGACAGCGAGGCCAGGATGGGGCCGCCGATCCACACAGAGTACTCGCACTCAGGGGCAGCAGTGATCTTGATGTTCATTGTGCTGGGAGCCAGGGCGGTGATCTCCTTCTGCATCCTGTCGGCGATGCCTGGGTACATGGTGGTCCCGCCAGACAGCACCGTGTTGGCATAGAGGTCCTTGCGGATGTCGACGTCACACTTCATGATGGAATTGAAGGTAGTTTCGTGGATGTCACAGGATTCCATGCCCAGGAAGGAAGGCTGGAAGAGACCCTCAGGGCAGTGGAACCGCCCATTGCCAATGGTGATGACCTGCCCATCGGGCAGCTCGCAGCTGTTCTCCAGGGAGGAGCTGGAAGCCGCGGTGGCCATCTCCTGCTTGAAGTCCAGGGCGACGTAGCAGAACTTCTCCTTGATGTCATGAACGATTTCCCGCTCAGCCGTGTTGGTGAAGCTGTAGCCACGCTCCGTGAGGATCTTCATGAGGTAGTCCGTCAGGTCCCCGCCAGCCAGGTCCAGACGCAGGATGGCGTGGGGGAGGGCGTACCCCTAGTAGATGGGCACCGTGTGGATGACCCTGTCACTGGAGTCCATCACGATGCCAGTGGTGCGGCCAGAGGTGTACAGGGATAGCACAGCCTGGATGGCCACGTACATGGCTGGGGTGTCAAAGGTCTTGAACATGATATGGGCCATCTTCTCACAGTTGGCCTTAGGGTTCAGGGGGGCCTCAGTGAGCAGCACGGGGTGCTCCTCGGGGGCCACCCGCAGCTCGTTGTAGAAGGTGTGGTGCCATATCTTCTCCGTGTCCTCCCAGTTGGTGACGATGCCCTGCTCGATGGTGTACTTGAGGGTCAGGATGCCTCTCTTGCTCTGGGCCTCATCACCCACATAGGAGTCCTTCTGGCTCATGCCCACCATCACGCCCTGGTGCCGGGGTTCCCTGCCCCGGGAGGAAAAGGGAGGGGATGGAGGGGAAGACAGTCCGGGGAGCGTCGTTGCCCGCGAAGCTGGCCTCGCACATGCCGACCAGGAGTGCAGCAATATCGTCATCCATGGCGAACTGTGGGGAGAACAGGACCATGAGGCGGGGGTCGGGTGGGCCGCCCTCGCCCTACCCACTTCCCTGGTGTCTGTTTTAGACAGGCTGGCCTAGGAAGGCCTCTCTGACGTGGTAACATTTTTTTAATATGTAATTTTATTTATTTATTTTTAACATTTTATTTATTTATTTATTTTTGGCTGCGTTGGGTCTCCGTCGCTGCGCGCAGGCTTTTTCTCTAGTTGCGTTGAGTGGGAGCTACTCTTCCTTGCAGTGCGCGGGCTTCTCATGGCAGTGGCTTCTCTTGTTGCAGACCATGGGCTCTAGGTGTGCGGGCTTCAGTAGTTGCAGTACGCGGGCTCATAGTTGTGGCTCGCAGGCTCTAGGGCTCAGGCTCAGTAGGTGTGGCTCACGGGATTAATTGCTCCGTGGCATGTGGGATCCTCCTGGACCAGGGCTCGAACCCATGTCCCCTGCATTGGCAGGCAGATTCTTCACCACTGTGCCACCAGGGAAGCCCTGTGGTAACATTTTGAGCTGAGACTGGAAGGAAGTGAGCTATGCATATGGATATTCAGGAAGAGACTTTCCAGGTATAGAGAATAGCAAGGGCAAAGGCCTTGAGGTGGGAGGATGGTTGGAGAGTCTGGGAAAAAGCAAGAAAGCCAGAGCAGAATAAATGAGGAGGAAAGTGATTTTAAAGTCCATTATCTCATTTGAACCCTACCACAGTTCCCCAAGGTGGGTGTTATTAACCATAGTTTTACTGATGGGGATACTGAGACTCAGAGAGGTCAGGTCACTTGGCCAAAGTCACACAGCAAAGAAAGCTTCCAGCCCTGTGCCTCTGTGAATTTTTCCCACTGTACCACATAACTTCTCTGGACATTACAATTGGGTGGCACTGCAGAGTGGGACCAAGGGTCCAGAGAGAGGGTGAGAACTGGAGAAAACTGCAAGGTGGTTTACAGTTCCTGAGATGTAGGGAAGGTGTGGCTCTGAGTGCCGGCAGGGCTTGCTCCTGTGGCCAGGAGGCCCGTGGCAGCCCGAGCTGTAAGGATTCTTTAAGGCTGAAGCGCTAGGCTGTGACAGGGCAAGATGGATGAGAGCACTGGGCTTAGTACCCGACTGAATTTCCTGAGCAGTTTTCATCCAGATGGTCTCTGGGAGAATAAGGTTTAAGAAGATTGATTCCCTGGGAAGGGAGGACAGGAAGGAGAAAGGGCTCCTGGCCTGTCTGCTCCCAGTGGAAACGTCTCTTGTCTTTGAATAAAGGAAACTACTGCTTTGAAAGGTGTGACTGGACGGGCTTAGTGGCTCGTGTGATTTGCAGGCCTCAGGAGTGGGGCGGGAGGACAGGAAAGGGGTGGTGATGGCTTTCCCGCCTGGGAGGAGGGCAGAGGGGGAGGCGCCCCTCCTTCTGGGCAGGGGCACCTGCATCCCGTGCAGTGCTAGGGGTCCACTCGGGTGCAGTCTCCTCAGCCCCGCCTGGATTTCTCCATCCTCTGCTTCCTCTTTCACTTCTGAATGACTTCAGGTCTCCTGTTGACCCCAAGTGCTCACAGCTTCATGCCTCCAGGTCTCTTCTCATGCTGAGCCTGGGCTTGGAAGGCCACCATTCTGTGGTGGGGCGGCCAGTGACGTGACACTTACTGTGTGTGTGTCGGGGGATAAATGAGACAGAGAACTGGCATCATGGCAGGAAAACTGGCATGAAAGTTGCAGAAACCTTCTGGGAGAGAAAGGACCAAGACTTGAAGGTATTCAGAGCTTTGGGAGCGTGTATGTGAAATGCTGTGAATGTTCTGAAACTAACTTGGTGATGGTTGTACATTTTTGTGACTTGACCAAAAACCATTGAATTGAACACTTACAACGGATGAATTGTGGGATGTGTGAGTTGTATCTCAATAAAGTAATTATTAAAACAACACCAAAAAGACCCAGTGGCAGGGAAGGCTATTGAGGTCCCTGAGATAAAAATCATCATGGGACAGGCTTGGGACTGGTGGGTTGGCTGGTGGCTCTGCGTGGGGCAGAGAAGGCAGCAGAGACTAAAATCTGCCTCAGTCCAGTTGTTCTGGTTTGTGTCCTGGGATTTTGTGTGCAGCAAATTATTTTTTTTTAATATACTTTTAGAAAATTTCAAACAGATGAAGGTACCAAAGGATTCATTAAGAAAATGTCAAATGGAACGTTTTAAATATCCCAAAAGAGAATAGTATAATGAACTCCTGCGTACCCATCATCCGACATCAACAATTATCAACTCATGGCCATTTTTTTTTTCATTCACATCCCCGTTCACTTCTGCCCTTTCCAGCTTATATTGAAGCAAATCCCACACATCATATTTCATCTGAAAATAACATTATTATACCTAAAAGAATTAATAGTAATTCCTTAAGATCATCAAATATCCAGTTATTATCCAGATTTCCAAATGCTCCATTAATGTCTTATTTTTAAAAGTTTTAGTTTGTCTGAGTCAGGATCTAAATAAGGCCACACATTGTGATTAGTTGATATATATATATTTTTAAATAAATTTATTTATTTATTTATTTATTTATGGCTGTGTTGGGTCTTGGTTGCTGTGCACAGGCTTTCTCTAGTTGCAGCGAGTGTGGGCTACTCTTTGTTGCAGTACGTGGGTTTCTCATTGCGGTGGCTTCTCTTGTTGAGAAGCATGGGCTCTCATGCTTCAGTAGTTGTGGCATGTGGGCTCAGTAGTTGTGGCTCATGGGCTCTAGAGCGCAGAATAAATAGTTGTGGTGCACGGGCTTAGTTGCTCCACGGCATGTGGGATCTTCCCGGACCAGGGCTCGAACCTGTGGTCCTTGCATTCGCAGGCAGATTCTTAACCGCTGTGCCACCAGGGAAGTCCCATCTGAGTCTTTTTTTAATCCATAAGTTCCTCCTCTTTTTTTTTTTTTCTTGAAGTTGGTTTGTTGAAGAAACTGGATTTTTGTTCAGAAAAGTTTCGCACAGGCTGAATTTTCCAACTGTATGTTTAGCAAGCTCCTCTGGACTCTGAATTTCCTGTAAACTGAAAGTTGGGTCTCGAGGTTTGATCAGGTTCAGTTTTTTTGTTTGTTTTTTTCTGTTTTTGGCAAGGCTATGTCGGTGGTGGTGTGTTATTCCATCAGGAGACACATAGTGTCTGGTTGTCTTTCTTTTTGTGATACTCAATGTCTAGATCCATAAATTCATAAGGGGCTGCAAAAACTATCATTATTCCTTCTGCATTTGTTGCAAAGAGAAACTTCTCCTCATCTACTATTTGGTTTCCCAGTGGTACAATTCATATAGGAAAGCAGGATAAAGCTGGATTTATCCTTTTATCTACCAGTCTTTAAAAGAATGAGTTAGTTTCCTATCATCCTCCTGAGTTTGTTTGTTTGTTTGCTTTCAGTATCATTATGAACTCATAGATTTAAATATATTTGGTGAATTTCAATCCACTGCAGTTAGTTTTATTATTGATGTCTTACTTGTCCCATCTTTGTCCAATGGGAACACTTCGGTTGGCTCCCGAGTCCTTTTGACGCCACCCTAGTGGTGTTTGAAGAGTCCTCGCTGGCTGATATGATATGGCTCATCTTGTCCATTCCCTGCCTCAGAATTGGGATCAGCCATTTCCTGTGGGTGAATAAACCTAGGTACGTTTGTGGAGAGGAGCATCCTCTCTTACATCCTGTGTACCATTTTGGCTTGGGCACTGCATGACTCAAAGAGCTCAATCTGGTCCCATTACTGTGGACAGAGCAAGTGGCCGAGGTCTCAGCGTAAATAGCACTTTCTCAAGAAAGCCCTCAGTGCTCCCCCAGACCACATCAACAGCCCCTCTTTTACATTTCTTATTTTACTCATTTTGGCAACTGTCAACATTCTTGGTTGCAAGCAACAGAAACTATCTCTGCTGACTTAAATAGAAAAAGGGTTGATTTTTTTAAGAAGTATGTATTAGGATGTTGGTTTGCCTGTACTGACAGATAAAGATAGAGCATTTATTTCTCTCTTGTAAAAATGTAAGATGATAGGCAGTTGGAGCAGGGGAGGCTGCAGGGTGACTCTGCTCCTCAGAGTTGTCCAAGGGCCCAGGTTCCTTCTGTCTTGTTGCTCTGTATGCTCCATGACAGTGCTGTCCAATAGAATTTTTGGTGATGATGGAGATGTTCTTTACCTGTGCTGTCCAGTACAGTAGCTACTGGCCACATGTGTATATTGAACACTTGAACATGATTAGAGCGACTGAGGAACTGAGCTTTAAATTTTATTTTATCTTAATTAATAAATTTAAATTACTTTAGGCTCATGTGGCTAATGGCTCCAGGGTCAGACAGCATATGTCTAGAAGTTGTCCTCATCTGCCTGGCTGTGAAAGAGATTCTACCAATCTACCTTGTAGATTTCAGGATGGGAAGAAGGAGGAGGGGCAAGCAGCTTCCTTCTGAGGACACACATCAGTTCCTGTCCCTTCCCATTGGCCAGAACTTAAGAGGGTCAGGCTTTGCTGCAAGGGAGTCTGGGAAATGAAGTCTCTAGCTGGAGAGCAGTTGCTGCTACTAAAAGGAAGAAGAGGGAGAATAGATATTGGTGGGCAATTAGAGACAAGGAAACTGGGTAGCTTTAACCTGTTGCCAGGAGGTGTGGACAGCAGAGAATTAGGTTTTGAGACCTCCAAGGCAGACATAAACCTCAAAATTCTCACTGTGTTGCTGATCCTGTATCTTGCTCACTCTGTGTCTCCTGGGGCACAACTGAGGGGTTAATATTGCCACCCGAAATCTTACAACAGGATCCCCAAGTTCCACAGCTAGCTGTATGGTCATTTCATTATTTAATCCTCAAAAAAAATTCTAGGAGGAAAGAACTATCACTATTCCATCTCCAAATCTCAGCCTCCATCTTCACATCACCTCTTCATGTCTGTCTCGAACCTCCCTCTGCTGCTCTCTCATAAGGGCACTCGGCATTGGATTTAGGGCCCACCCGGATAATACAGGATAAAC